GGTACACGCTACAAGCTGCATCGTCTGTCTAAGGAGAAAGGGTTACCCTGCCTCTCCTGGGTAGACTCGTGCTCATGTTGTGTGAACAACTCTGCACGAGCACCTAAGGAGGCTTACCTCCCTAATAGCCCGTGGTGGCGCGTACGTATCTCTAGTGAGACGTACGAAGGGATTGACAACCTGAAATCTCTTTACGACCGTGCCGGGAAGACTTTCTCCGGCGGTCCTTCTGCGGCACAGGATGTGCCGTGTCGTACTGCTCAACCAGACCCAGTACGTCAACCATCAGTTGGGAGCGGGGCTCCCAAGCATCCCAGGACTGGGGATAGCCGCGTTACCGAACGAGATAACTCGTCCGACGTCCGTTCACGTCGCGGTGGTTCAACAGCTGCTCAACCAGATAGCGCTGGCCACCGCGAGAGTTCTCTAATGGAGGTGGAGGAAGAGGGAAGACGTTCTCCACACAATCGTGGGGAAGCGTGTGTTCCCGAGAGCTTCTTTGATCGCGTAACGCAAGCGTTACGCGGCGATCTCGAACATGAGCGGGACAGGCGTCTCCAACTGTCGGACACTATCTTGAAGCATCGAGCTGAGTTTGCCTTTGCTCAGCTTAAGAACGAGAGAGCTCTGACGTCTCCGCGTGACGAGCTAAGGGTAGCTCGTGGGAGTGTTGATCGGTCTCGGGCTGAGATAACTGCTCTTCAGACCCTTGTCGATGCCCACCATCGGGAGCACAAGGCTCTCTGCGAGATGCTTGAGCGCAAGGGCGTTCTTCATCGGAAGAAGCAGCGTACTGATGGTACGGCTTAAGCCGACCAACGTAAAACGTGGGATGCGTCTGCTTCTTACGTGGCAACTCGATCGTGTATGCATTGCCTAGGCGGTGCAATACACGAAATGGGCCGATGTACTTGGGTAGAAGTTTACTACTACCCAAGTTAGTCACTACATGCTCTGGTGGGTTAACCGTAGACAGTAGGACTAAGTCACCTTCATTAAATAAAAGAGTGTTTGCCCTTCCATTCTCGTCAGCGTTTTGCTTTTGCTTATCCAACGCTTCGGCGATGGAGTCTTGCACAAAACGGACTGCCGTTTCACGAGCCAGTATGAACTCATCTGATGACTTCTTAGCTTCAGTGCGCTGTAAATGCACTGCAACAACATCAATCTTTTCTATAGTGAGGGCTTCCGCGCTCTCACTGGCATCATCTTCTTCGATATCGATGTTATCGATATCGGCATCAAACGCAATGACCTCTTCGTCAGAGCGCGATGAGCGTGAACCAAATCGGTTTTTGCTCGCGCGAGTCCCTCCCCCCTTAAACCAGAGATACACTCTAGTAAGGTGGGTACACGCGGATGGCGTAAGCCATTCACGTAAAACGGTGTATGGGTCGTGGGCGCATGCACCGAGTTGTTGATGGCAAACTCTACCATTGGCAAGAACTCACTCCAACTCTTAAAGGAGTGTACGTATCCTCGAAGTATCTCTTCAAGGACACGATTGGCTCGTTCCGTCTGACCATCTGACTCTGGATGATCAGATGTCGACATCTTCAAGCGCGTTCCGAGTGATTTGAACACGGAACGCCAGAAATCAGCAGTGAAGCGTGGATCTCTGTCTGATACGGGTTCACGGGGCAACCCATGAAGTCGGAAGATGGTGTCGATAAAGACACAAGCATAGCCACTTGCTGTGATTGACTCGGGTACAGCCACAAGGTGTACCATTTTGCTGAATCTGTCAACAAATACGAGAATACCCGTGTTCCCGCGTGCGTCTTTGGGTTAACCGAAGACAAATCCATTGAGATGGATTCCTAGCACTCAGCCGGAACCGGTAGAGGCTGTAAAGGTGCACGCAGTGAAGGACTTGACTTCACTCGTTGACAGACTTCGCATGCGCGAACATACTTTCGCACAAACTGATACTGGCGGGGCCAGTAAAAGTCTCGACTTACCGTGAGATATGTTTTCTCTCGGCCACGATGTCCTCCTATAGGAGCATCGTGATACTCGAACATGATCCGCAAACGCATATCAGTATCATCTGGAATGACAACACGTGGTGTGTCACCAGAAACGGCTGTATAATACAGTAAACCGTTACGAGTAGTGTACCGATCTGATGCAGATCGATACGCAGAAGATAATCGTTTCAACGATTCTCGAGATGGTTGTGAGAGATGTGTCAACAACTTCACAATCTCACCATCTTGGGTATACGCTCGCCTCACATCATCATGCAACGTTGAAGATGGGACTGAGGACGTTTTAACCGCAACAGTGACTGTCTCACTGTTGGGTTTCACGACTGGTTCAAAGTCGGGACGACGTGAGAGTGCATCAGCGACGACATTGAGTCGTCCTGGTTTGTACTCGTCCGTAAAGTTGTATTCTGCAAAGAATGACAACCACCGCGCCATTCGTTGTGAAAGGTGCGGGCTGTTCACTGCCGTGCGTAACGACGCACGGTCTGTGTAAACAATGAAGGGTCTATCTCCTAATAGATAGACTCTGAACTTCGCGAGTGCATACTTCATGGCAAGGAGTTCCTTGTCATGCACTGGATAGTTCCGCTCAGCTGGTTACAGCTGACGCGACTGATATCAGACGACGCGTTCAACGCCTTCTAGGTCGTACTGCATTAATGCACAGCCGATTGCGAAATCGCTGGCATCACAGACCACATGGAATGGCCTGTCCTGATCGGCAATTGCTAGGACTGGGGATTGTATCAAGCTCTGCTTGATACCATCAAAGGAGCACTGGCATTCAGCGTTCCATAACCACCTCTCGTTATTTTTTAACAAACGAGAGAGGTGTACAGTCATCTCGGCGTAATTGCGTGAATACTTGTGCAAATGCGCCGCTAGCCCAAGGAATTTTTGAAGACCTTTGACATCAACTGGCGTAGGCCAGTCGGTGATCGCCTTGATCTTTTCGGGGTCAGGACGTACACCGTTCTTACCAACGATGCACCCAAGAAGTGGTATTTCGCTTGCGGCAAATATACACTTCTTGAGGTTTGCATACAATTGATGCTTTCACATGATTGTAAGAACCTGTCGGACGTGGTACCTGTGAACCTCAACGTCCGACTTTCCATCCATAGCTCGACTATGGATGAATACGTCATCAAAATAACTCGGCGCGAATTCTCGTACTGGTCTCAACAGATGTGATACACATCTGTTGAACGTGGAAGGGGCATTACTAAGCCCTTGTGGCATTACTAGCCATTCCCAGAGCATGCCGCTAGGCGTGCTAACTGCGGTATAGGGTATATACCGTTCCCGCATAAGGATTTGATAGAAGCCATCCATCAAATACATGGACGAAAAGATGGTACTCTTTGACATACCATCAATGATTACGTCCTTCCTTGGTATCGGTGTCTGAGCCGGTACCGTTGCAGCATTCAATTTGCTGAACGCGTGCACTATCCGCCACCCTCCTGTTGCTTTTCGCACACAGAAGGTCGGAGAGCTATGTGGGGAAGTTGATTCACTCACATGGCCCGCAGCTAAACGATCGGCAAAGAACTTGTCGATCGCAAGTACTTGTTCACGAGGCAGTGGCCACTGCTTCATGACACAGTACTTCGAGCCTGGTTTAAGCTCGACCTCGTGTCGAGTACCTTTATCCTTCGGTAACTCGCACGGAACAGTTTCAGGGAATACATCCTTGATTTAACCAAATCTTCATAGAGAGGATTTGTCTTGAGCGATTCCCACGATTGGGAGTCATATCGCTCAACCCGTGTCTTTTCATCGAGGACGCTCTCGTCCATTGATGAACTACTGAGAACTCTCTCGTTCTCAGTAAACATTGTTGCTGACCTTGTGTCGGCTACATACTCGTCGTCAGCGACGAGTACGCATATCTGCTTGACTTTGACACTACGAAGATCACGCAAGAACCTTTTATGTTCGAGCGTTGGCAACTGAGTGATCTCTGAAGTCAACTTCGGAGGCGCAATCAGATCAAGTGTATAAGCGCCCACACTTGATCCGTCATTGACTATGACATTCAATGTATCTGTCATTTCCTGGGGACTTATTCCCTCAGGCCTCGAAGGACTTATTCCTTCGGCTTCCCAGGGACTTATTCCCGCGGGGTTCGGGGAACTTATTTTCGCCGTATTTGTAATATCGGGACTTATTCCCTTTACTTCCTCTAGCTCTGGTTGCGCAACCACAGCGAGATCCTCTACGAAAGACTCTACAGTCGATCTAGGATTATCGTTTCACTTGACCTGAGCGATCGATTGTTTCTCTTCTAGATGTTCCCCGCTAGGAATACATCTTTGTCCCGGTCCACTCGACTTATTCGAGTGGTGGACCTTCAATGCAGCCTGTGTTTCCTCACAGCCGCCGGAACTTTGCTCCGAAGTGTAACCGTTTGGTACACTAAGGTTTCGTGCAGTCGTACTAACGACCGTACCACAAGTGAGGCCATCGCACTCACTCGCAGTACATCCACACGCTTGTGGACGCTCCAAAACGTTCATCAGATAGCCATCTGATGAACAAGCGGCAGGCATCGTTACTGTTCGATGTTGCCAGTTTACCCGTGGTTCGTACCTTCTGAGCCACGGTATTCCAAGGATGACATCAAGTTTGTCATCCAAATCCAATACGATAAAGTCACCGTCATATTGGGTATCTTCTAGCGTATAGTGGATCTTCACTATACGCTTCATGACGGTTACGGATGCGCCTGTCGCAAGACGTACCGTCATCCTCGTAGGAGGTGTGTCACATTCACTAAACTTAAAATGACCATCTTCTAGCGATTGGCGTCGCACAAAATTGTTGGACGCCCCACAATCGACAAGAGCTCGAAGGGACAACTTATTCGTCACTTCGAGTTTCAAGGTAATGAGTGAGATCTCATTACCTAGAGCAGCAACGCACAACGTTTGTGTGTTGGGAGCAACCTTCATCAAGAGGCCTACAGAATTCTTGACGTTGCTGGACCAGTAGGGTGCTCCGCACCTACTGATCCTGTCCGTTTTTTGACGGTCCATCCCGTTGTTGCGTCTTTGCACCAACAGCGGACCCGCGTCCCTGCCCCTTTCTCATGGGTAGACGGTCACTACGCCCAGTGTTGCGAGACACTGGACGAGGGGCACTACACTCGTAAGCGTAGTGTCCTGTCTTCTGACATCTGTTGCATTTCTGGAACTTCTTGTAGTCTGTAGAGTGAGCCTTCTCGCTCTCTACATAACAGAGTTCCATCGGCTCTGGACCTCCATTGTCATATCGTCTCGGTTGACGATATGATGTCGAGCTGGCGCGAGCCTGTCTCAGACTGAAGTCTTCCTGTTCCGCAATGGAAATGGCTTGTTCTAGTGAATCTAGTTCAAGCCGGAACAGGTGAGTCTTGACGGGACCATCCGCAAGACCCTTCATGAACACCGAAACCAACGTGTGTTCATCCACCGGATTGGAACTTATACAACTCGTGAGATGTCGTATATGTTGCGCGTAAGCGTGCACATCACGCTTAACCTGCTTGAGCTTCAAGAGTTCGGTTCGAGCTCTGAACTCAGCTCTAGGCGGTTTGAACGTTTGTCTGAGCCGCAACTTGAAAACTTCTAACGACCCAAATGCATATGGGTCGTGCAACTTGAGCCCCAGTGCCCAAGTCTTGGCACGTCCTGCCAGATTTGACTGGGCAAATGCAACTTGCATTTCCCCGTCGTCGATGCGACGCGCCCTTTTGGCGTCATCCAATTCGACGAACCATCTCAAGAGGGAGTCCTATTGGACTCCCTTATACTTAGAGATGTCAATCTTCAAAGTCTCGGGTCGACGCGAGTGCATCGACCCACCAGCAGCAGCCTGCTGCTGTCTCAACAGTTCAAACTGTTGAACACCCTGTTCTCTCAACAACCCTGATTGTTGAGAACCTTGTTGGTGAAGCAAGGCTACTTTATCGCGTTCAGCGTCAAGTTCATTTTGAATGAACTTGGCGATAGTAGCATGTTGGGCATCTCTATTGAGAGCCTCTCGCATGACGCCAACAGCATGGATGCCCATGGTTGAACCCATCCGTTCAACCGCTTCCCGTTCGACTCGCTCAAATGGGAGTAGCCGTCACGCGTAGCGTGAAAGCTTTGGTCATCTTCATCATCCAACGTATTCATGTTAGATGTGGACGTGGTCCTTGGACGGACTACGAAGTGCTACCAGGTGTAACGGGGCACCCTGAAGCTTGTACTGGTGACAGTACAAGCTACTTATTCTGATGACAGAATAAGGCGGTGCCTCGGAACTTCACGTACACTCGTACGTGCAGAGGAAGACGGTAAGAAGAAGCGAGTACTTGGTTAAAGTAAAAAGTAGAACTGTATTTATCATAGTTAACGTCTGTTAATGAACCACTATTTATCCTCATCTAACTAGGTCTGAATACAAATGTGCATATCAACTATCTGCTCACCACTCATTGCGTGCGTCCGTCGTGGCGCGTCTTCGTTGGCTGATATAATGGCCTATATCAACCAATTAGGAACTACTCGTAAGTGCTGCAGAATATTTGTCCTTATGACAATATTCTGAGAATATAACTCTTTTAGTAATATTCTATCAACAATTTCTAATAAATTGTTATGTAACGATTCACCCCGTTACAAGCAGGATAAAAACGAAAAAATTACCCGCATCGTAGAGCAGGGATGCAAAAGAGTAAACACTGCTGAAATCGTTACTCTGATTACTATCGAACACAACGACAAGTCTGAGAATGTATTTTGGTACCCGAAGCAATTTCATTCTCAGACAGGTTCCGTGTTGTTGCTCCGCGGGGTAACTGAGAACTGCTTCGGTAGATAAAATAGTTACTATCACATGCACCAGTACAAGCGGCAAGGCACGTAAGCGCACCTGCTACAGAAGCATCACCTATTTTCCAAGGTCACTGCAGATCGCAAGCACGATACTGATCTAACACTCGCTGAAGCTATGATCTACATCATCCACCGAGGCAAGTTACACAGAGGGCAATGTCAGTTAATTACACCTAATTAGTCAGCTACATTTCATACCATATACGCGTACACTGCACAGCAGTACTGGGGAGGGCATTGTCATCAAGTTAGGGCTCGCCAGTAGATGAGCTGTGAACGACGTGACCCGCGTTGCGCTAGTCCTTCTTGCCCAGTCATAACTACTGCAGTAGCTTTTCTTTTCCACTGAGACGTACATCCGTGCAATGTGCGCGCTGCCCACTGCGCTGCTCACGATTATAGCGGCTGTGAACCGACAGCCGTCTCCATCTTGATCCAATATCCCTTCTCCCACACTCGCACGCACAAACTGCTCCTTGTGATCAGCACTTTTTTAAAGGGATATACTGCTAAAAAATCGCCTTCTTTCACCTTGTCGTACATATACTGCAGCTTGCCCAACAAATTGCTTATCCGACTGTGCATGTCTAGAGTGTGCGAGACTGGACATGTTTTTCAAATGGTCGTGTTGTCTGAAGGTGCTGACGGGGTGATGCTGGCTTTTGGTTTCGTTTATGAATAAACTCTCTGTACGTTCGCCACCGTACAGCATCAGTGGTGCGCTGCGTAAGGTTGGCATAAAAGTTGCGTCCTTGCTTTGTGGATGTCAGCTGATGACATGCCACGGAGCCGCTACACGTTCAAGACCGTCGATCACGTGTGTTTCGCAACTGGTGGTGTGATTGACATTCATCTGGGTTATATTTGATTTAATTTTGTGAACGCTGAAGACGTGAATTGACACCGCTGAGAAATATTGGCAGATGATGCGCGCGTACAAGTGCCACAGCTGAGCACGCAGGGACTTGGGTCTAGATACGTGAGTCTGCTGCGGGTGAAACATTTTATGTAACTGGACCTGTCCCGTGACGTAACTATTGCTTTCCGGTATCGCCCTAACAATTTGCAGCCGATCTTGAGAGTCTTTGCTTTGAGGAGACTTGAGGAGAAAGGGTTCAGCATCTTCAATTCTATCGCGAATTAGCAAGGTGGTCGGTGCAACGCTGTTTTGGTCCGTTAAGATAATACCCAGGTTGCTTGCATTGAAAAAGCAGATGCAATGAGATTACGCTGTCTAGTAGCATGCCAAGACAACTGGAGCCAGTCCATCCATAAGATCACTGCAGGCACATTGTTTTCTGCAATTTTTCAAGTAGCACGACATGTGTCACGATTCTCCAACAGCAGGCGGGAAGCAGCCGATGTTGTTGTCCACGCACACCATTACGAAGACTTGGAAGTCCTACGCACTAGGCAAACTCCGCAGCCGTCATTGTCACCAAAGCTAAGTTGTCCAGCGGGGCGACTTCAACAGGCTAAACCTCCATGACATTATCGTACCATCGAGCAGGTTGGTTTTGTTTTAAAACACTGGGTCCTGGAGATGAGACACACTATCTGGATCAGACAGTCAAGGTAGTGGGTGAATACGGGAGATGCCGACCAGTTCTAGCGAGGATGTAAGCGCCATTCTGCTGGTGCATTTTCCGTCGTGCGATTTTTGTGGTCGGTAGACGAGTCCTTGTCGCGTCTGCGTTTCAAAAAGTCGTTAAAGATGCGTACAAATTAGCGACATCGATATGATACTGCGGCATCGAGACTTTGCGTGGAATGGCAGAGGTTGCTCGGGGACTTCGGTTCAAAAGCGATGCACAGAAAGGTTATTGACATATCTTGAACGGATCAGAGGTGTACCACACACTGCTGCTTTTTCTAATTAGTCATTCTGTGTGTGTTGCTGTTCCCCATATATGATACAAGGTTCACTCATCAATAATCTTCGGTACTTTGAATTCGCCACGAAGATGCGTAGCTTCACATGACGTCAACATGTAATGAATGCTGTTGTACACAAAAGGTATGTTTCTTCTCGTTTTAATTCTTGAGCGTAGCTGATTACTACGAAGGTGATAACTAACCTGCTTCACACGCAATCAAATATGACGTTGTCGACACTGTCGACGTGACAACTCACTACCAACAAACTACTAGCCGCTAGTGGTGGACCATATTGCCGAGGCGACAATCAATAACACCAGAATGCCATTATAATCCCGTACCCAAAATATGATACGGGTGCCAGCAGCCGAACCAAACCAGGTGTAATTATTCGCGGCGTGAGGGAAATGTTTACGAGCTGCCAGATTTCGCACACTTTGGCGCACCACTTTGCCCTGAAATTTCCTCGTCTTTTTGACGTGAACTGCTGCGACTCAATGCGTTTTACTTCGTCAAACGAATCTTGTGAGAAAAGTCGATCTTTACAACATGCTGCCCCAACTTCTTCAACCGTTTATCAATGATCTTTCCCTTCCCCCCTTTAACATTATGGTACTCCTGGTATTCAAATCCCTCGTATACATCCGGCGGAACGACGAAATATAGCCGCGGTTCATCAGGGTTTCCAAGCATCTCAAGAGCCTTGAGAAGCCCATTTTGTTCACAGGGGTGCACTTGTGCACAAGTAACCTGAAATAACTCGTCGGGCTTAGCCATCGCATCCACCGACTCAAAATTACGTGAGGCAGGCTGGAGAAATTCCCCAACATCAGCATGAGTCACATCATGAACTCGTTTGAAAAAAAAGGTTTTTCGCGGACGCAATTTAACTCATTCTGACTCTGCGCGCTTGTACATCGTAACATCACCTTCACTATCAACAGCGACGCATTTTGATTTGCACTCGTCTTCGTCACCATCTGTAGCAGAATCTTTCGGTTTTAAGTGCCGAGATTCAAATGTCCCCCCTTGCGACAGCAATGAAAGTGCGAATCGCTCGAACAGAATTCCCCGTTTCACCGCATCTTCGCTGAGTTCATGCGAAGCAGCAAGAAAATCGATTAGGTCCCTTCTCCCACATTCATACAACCTTTCAAAAACTTTTTGGGCGATGTAGACTGATGCAAAGTCCAAACTCTTGTAACACGAATCGTGGTTGACTCGAAAGTGGAATAGCCGATGCGAGACGTCACTCTCCACCCCGTTTGATTCGACACTTGCTGTGAGTATCATCTGCAAATTAGATTTGGTAATTGCCTCCTTTAGCGATTTTTGCACTGCTTTGTCCTCAGCATACTCTAAGACGTAGCGCGCAACGCCGCCCCACTTCATATACCTTTTCTCCACAATCTCCACGGGAGTATTCGAATACAACAGCTCACGACACTTAAAAATCTCTTGCTTTGACCACACTGGCATGAACAACCTCGCGCATTTTCGTTGACAAATCTTATGCCAAACCTCTTTGCGTGGCGACGTTACAAGCATTGTCTTCGCCTTCACGCGTGATGGTTTGACACCATCCACGACGTAAAACGTTTTACGCTGCTTAAGAAAGATTTCAAAATCCGTTTTCGATCCTACGACCACCAGATTGCTGGAAAATAGAGTACGTTCCCCCTTCACTTCGGAACTCTCGTAAATCACCGTAGCTCCATCTTGTGCAAGATACAGCAACACCAAAAAGCAAAAGTAAGTCTTGCCAATTCCTGGGGTACCGAGGATGATAAGGCGCTTATAAGTTCCTTTCTTCCCGTCAAGAATGCTTCGACAAAGATCCCATAAGTGCGGGTAACATGGACGAACGTATATATGGGAGCCAAGCTCAGATTCATCAAGTATATATGTCTTTTCAGGTAACGTGATCACAGCGTCCGCTACGACCGGGGTATTCATCGTTCGAAAAGCTTTCCAGAAATCGACCCGTGGTGACTTCATCATCGTGGACGTGACGGGAGTCGTGACACCGCCCACAGTGATCGACTTGCCTAACGGACTGACCATAGTCGGCGGAAGCATCACCAGCACGTGGACAACGTCTTCTTCAAGAAAAAGACCGGTACCAAACAGACTGGGCTTTCTTAATCGCCAAGACGCGCGCATCTCCTCCATCCCATCGAGAATTCCTTGTGTCTGAATCAGTCTGTCCAAATCACCGTCGTCTCGCAGCCACGCCCCATCTTTTTTCGCCAGGAAGAGCCGCAGCTCTCTAGCATCGCACAGGACATCCACTGTGTTCTCATCCCTTATGTCTTTCTTCAAGTGAGCCACTGATCTATCTGTGTCGATATCCACGACGAAAGTACTTCGAGGTAATCCAACGACCGCACAAAGCAACGCGACTTGCACCATCTTTCTTTGACTTGACAGGTTTTCGACTGACCAAATATGGGCGCCGGATATTGTCTTCAACATGAGCAGTCACATTTTTACCAATTACAGGACATAACGATGTAGTGGAATGACGGTAGAACGGAAAAGACTGATGGGACACGACACGCTCTTTTTCAGTGATGGGAAAAGGCAGCAAAGAATGCGATTCTTTCTGGGCGAGGCTATCCCATACTTTCAATTTTGCTTTTCCGTACTGCAAACCCAGTCAAACGTGTTTTCGAACATCTAATCAGCTTAATATTTAATTTAGTTGTAGTATGCTATATATAGAAGGTCAGAGGTGCGGAGGTTGAAGAGCTTCCATTGACCGGAATTTGTGCTGACGTGATAGGGACGGGTCGAACATCTTTAACGGGGAGATTACCAATGTTCAAATCCGTCTATGAAACACCAAGTATTGCTGACTCGTCTAGCTGAACCTGGTGTGACGACGTCTGCACCCGATAGTCAACCGAAGCTAGTCAAGTTCCATTCATTTGCCAATCCAGCGGGTGCTGCGACTTGCTATGTGGATGAGTCTGAAATAGAGCTCATCTTTTCTGACGAGATGGATGATGCATCCAACTCGAAGGCGACACCTCACGCATCCGGATCATCCGGGGCGGACACTGCAAGAGCCAGGTTGACTGAATCCGGTGAACGTGACTGCATCGTGTCCGAGATCTTCGAATCGAGTGATCATTCCGACGAATCCTCGCCTTACACAAATCCACGTGACAATAGGACGCGTAAGTAGGTGGTGGTGCACCTATGCATCACCACGAGAGAAGTAACTCGAGGGATCGAGCTGACACTGGTGTCAGTGCTCATGCTGACATCAATCAAGAGGCCAGGCACCGACACGTCCTGCGACACGCTACTCAAGTGAAGTCTCCTTGGATGATGGCATCCAAAGAGTTAGATCGATGAGCCGGCATGACCACCGAACGGGATCGAATCCCGTTGTTCGAGTGTAGGAGGATCAGTCCCTCAAATTTCAGCACGGAAACTATCCGTGCTGAGGAAGAATTATTCACCGATGCATCTTTTAAACACCGGTGGTACAATGTCAGTCTTTTTGGGGTCGGAAAGGCCTTTGTGAAAGGATGGAATGCCCTCATTCATAACATCGAGTGCATTGGCCGTAAGGCCTGGCTCGGTTAACTTGATGCAGCTCGCATCAGGTTTGAAAAACGCAATTCAGTCGGGTGCGATACACGTTGCAACGACTGTCAAGAGAGGCAGAGTTAACCTGTCTCTCGTGGGATGGTTCGTGTCCAGGTTGCCTGGAAAACTCAAATCGTGCCCCTACGGAGGTCTACGTCTTTAAGATTCCCTACTGGAGGGCGCGCATGTCATCTGAGATGGCTGAAGGGATTGACACTTTAAATCCCTGTACACGCATTCGGGGAGGTCGTTTTCAACTTACTTTCTTCGAGCGCAGCGGGTGGGTCTCGTCATACTGCTCAACTAGACTCAGAACTTTAACAATCAGCTGAGCACGAGGCTCCCATCTGTCCCAGGCCGGTGAATGGCCACGCCAGCGGTCGAGGTAAATCGTCCGGACGCTTTCACGTCGCAGTGGTTCAAAATACGCTCCACTAGAAAGCGTTGACCACCGCTTAAGTCCGCCTAAGGATATGGTGGTGGTGGGAACACCTTATCCAGCTCGAGGGTCGGATCAAGTTGATGTTCAAGAGCTGAATCGTGTAACAGAACAGTTGCAAGATGACCTGGCTCACGAACGGACTCGGCGTTGTAAGCTTCATGATCTTGCAAAGAATATTTACAATTCCTAAACGCACGATCGTCCGAACGATCGTGCCACGTTTGCGCTCGCGCAACTTGAGAACGAAGGTTCGGTTCATTCTCTTCGTGACAAGCTTACTGCATCTCGTCAGGACATCGCTCAAATGCGTGAACAGTTCGCTTCGCTAGTTGACCAGACTGGCTTGTTGAAACAGGACTGCTCGTAGGTGGTCTCGGCCCTTGAACGCGTAGGTGTTCTTCTCCACTGGAAGCGGGCTCATACTGATATTACGGGCGGAGACGTCCAACGTAAAACGTAGGATGAGTACGCATCCTACGAGGCAGTTCAATCGTGTATGCGTCGCCCATTCGGCGCAACACACGAAATGGACCGATACACTTGAGCAGTAATTTACTGCTGCCCACGTTTGTCACTGCGTGTTTCAGTAGATTTACTGTGACAGTAAACCTAGGTCTCCTTCATCAAATGAAAGAACGTTTGCTCTTCCATGTTTGTCTGCGTTTCTTTTCTTTCTGTCTAGTGCATCTGCAATAGAGTCTTGAAAAAAGCGGAAAACCACTTCGCAAGTCAGCAGAAATCCCTCTGCTGATTCATCCTTGTCAACAGCAGTGCGCTTCGTGTGCAATGCTGAAATAACGTTGTCTTCACCAGTGAGGGCGTCTTCGTCCTCACTGTGGCAGTCATTGGCTATGCTGAATGTGCCAGCATCGTCTTCATCATCATCATCGTTGTCGATTGCACCGACATCGGCATTCATCATGTCGACACCATTATCGACGGGTGATGAGCAAGAACCAGATCGGTTTTCGTTCGAGTGAGTCCACCCACCCCCTTAAACTAGAGTCGCCTTCTAAGAAGGCGGGTAAACGGGGATGGTGTAGTCCACCCACGAAGAACGGCGTATGCGTTGTCGACGCATGCACAGAGTTATTAATGTCGTATTCAGCCATCGGCAAGAACTCGCTCCAACTCGTAAACGAGTGGACACACCCTTGATGTATCTCTTCGAGAAAGCGGTTCACGCGTTACGCCTGACCATCCGATTCTAAAGGGTTTAAAGTCGACATTTTCAAACGTGTTTCAAGTGAACGGAACACGGATTGCCAGAACTTCGCTGTGAAGCGGGGGTCCCTGTTTGACGCGAGTTTAAAGGGGAAACTCAAGAATTCAGAAGACCGTATCAATGAAGACACGAGCACAGCCTTGGACTTTGATTGACTCCAATACAGCAACAAGATGTACCATCTTGCTAGACTGATCAACGAACACAAGAATACCAGCATTCTCGTGAGCGTCTTTGGGAAACCCAAAGACGAATTCCTTCGGTACGGACTGCCAGCACTCTGCCGGAATCGAGAGAGGCTGCAAGGGTACGCGAGATGAAAAATTAAGCTTCTTTCGTTGACAAAATTCGCAATCGCGAATGCATTTGCGCACAAACTCATACTGGCGGGGCCAGTAAGAGTCACGACTCACCGTGAGGTAAGTCTTTTCTCAACCGTGATTCCCACTTGTTGGGGCATTGTGACACCCACATATGATGCGCATTCGCAAGTTATTATGAGCAGGAACGACGACACGAGGTGTGTCGCCGTCAACTGCTGTATTGCACAGCAGTCCATCACGAACCAAGTACCGTTCGGTCGAAAAGCGGTATTGAGACGACAAGCTTCAAAGCTTGACTGCATGGATTGGCTACTTAATCCATTGATCGCAGAAGAGACTCATCTTCTGCGTATGCTTTTCGCCCATCGTCGAATCTTTTCGACGACGGAACACTCACTGTTAGTGTCGCGACAGTGGGATCACCCCTACTGTTGGGTTGAGCAGTCGTCTCAAAATCGGGCCGACGCGAAAGAGCATCAGCGACGACATTAAGTCGTCCTGGTTTATACTTGACGTAGAAGTTGTACTCCGCGAAGAAAGACAGCCATCTTGCCATTCGTTGCAAGGAGTGTGGACTGTTTACGGCCTTGCGTAACGACGCATGGTCGGTATAAACATTGAAGGGCCTATCTCCTAATAGATATTCCCGAAACTTGGCCAGTGCATATTTTATGGCAACGAGTTCCTTGCTATGCACCGGGTAATTACGCTCAGCTGCTTGCAGCTGACGCGATTGATAACAGACGACGCGCTATATACAATGAAGGGCCTATCTCCTAATAGATATTCCCGAAACTTGGCCAGTGCATATTTTATGGCAACGAGTTCCTTGCTATGCACCGGGTAATTACGCGCAGCTGCTTGCAGCTAACGTGATTGATAACAGACGACGCGCTCAACGCCGTCTTAGTCGTACGGCATTAACGCACAGCCGACTGCAAAATCGGTGTCGTCACAGACTACATGGAACGGTCTGTCCTGGTCTGCAATCGCCAACACAGGCGATTGTATCAAGCTTTTTTTGACAACTTCGAAGGAGTGCTGACACTCAGCCCTCCAGGACCACCTCTCGTTTTTCTTTAGCAGACGAGAGAGATGTACGGTCATCTTGGCATAGCTGCGCGAGTACGTGTGTAAGTACGCCGCCAAGCCAAGGAACTTTCGATTTCCCTTAACGTCGACTGGCACAGGCCAGTCGCTAATCGTCTTGATCTTTTCCGGATCAGGGCGTACACCGTTTTTACCTACGATGCAGCCAAGAAGTGGTATTTCGTTCGCTGCGAATATACACTTCTTGAGGTTCGCGAACAACTTAAGCTATTGCAATAGTGTAAGAACCTTCCGAAAGTGGATTCTATGAACCTCCATGTCCGTCTTTCCATCCAATCACCGGCTATGGACAAACATCGTCAAAGTAACTCGGTGCAAACCGCGCTATGATCGCAACAGATTCGTAACACATCTGTTGAACGTTGCCGGGGCGTAACTTAGCCCCTGTGGCATCACGAGTCCATACCAGAGCGTACCACTGGTGGTACTTACTGCTGTGTACAGGACGTCCTGTTCACGCGTGAGGATCTGATAGAAGCCATCCATCAGATCAATGGACGAAAAGATGGTACTTTTTGCCATACCATTTATGATGATGTCCTTCCTCGGTATCGGCGTTTGAGCCGGTACCGTTGCAGCGTTCAATTTGTTGAACGCGTGCACTATCCGCTATCCTCCTGTGGCATTTCGCACACAGAAGGTCGGAGATCTGTGTGGGGATGTTGATTCCCTCACATGACCAGCCGCTAAACGATCGACAGAGAATTTGTCGACCGCTGTGGCCTGTTCACGAGGCAGTAACCACTGCTTCATGACAAAGTATTTCGAACCAAGTTTCTGTTCGATCTCGTGCCGAGTGCCTTTGTCCTTAGGCAGCTCGCATGGCACGGATTCAGGGAAAAACATCCCTGAACTCAACTAAATTCTTGAAAAAAAAATTTCTTCAAAGACTCCCAACACTAAGACGTGTATCGCTCAATCCGAGCCTTATCATCGAGGACACTCTGATCCATTGATGAGCTACTGTGAACCCGTTCGTTCTCAGCAAACACTTATGCCGACCGATTGTCGGCGGCGCACTTATTCTCAGTGATGACTTCATATTTCTGCTTGATCTTGTCACTACGTAGATCTCGCAAGAAGCTTTTATATTCTAGCGTTGACAGCTTAGGTACCTCCGAATATGACTTCGGAGGTGTAACCAGATCAAGTGTATAATTGGCTACACTTGATCCGTCATTCACCGAGACATCTACTGTCTCGGTGATTTTCTGGTAAAACACATCCGCAGGTGGTTAGGGATCCACACCCTCAGTATAACTTTCTCATGAGTTATTGCTCTCAGGAACGCTAGAACTTTTTTCCATTACGTTTACTGACTGTAGGTGTACTACCGTAGTCACGTCATCCTCGATTGAATCTCTTTCAGTCGATCGGGCTTGATCTACGATCGACTCTCTGATAGTCGATATCGCTTCAACGTGTTGTTCATCCTGAACAACACTAATCATTCTTCTCGGATACACCCTTCTTGGTGTGCATCCGTGTTCCAGTCCACTTAAAATCTTCGAGTGATGAACCTTCGGCGCAGCTTGTGTCTCTACACAGGTGCCGGAAGCTGGATCCACAGTGTAACGACCTTCTACATTGTGATCTTGTGCAGTCGTACTAACGACCGTGCCACAAGTGAGGCCATCACGCTCACTCAAGTACGTCTGCACGCTTGTGGACGCTCCAAGACGGTCGTCAAATTGCCATCTGGTGAACAAATGGCAGGCATTTTGACGGATAGATGCTGCCAGCTGATCCATGACTGCTATTGTCTAAGCCACGGCGGACTGAGGATGACATCACATTTGTCATCCAAATTCAATACGATACGATAAAGTGATCATCGTACTGCTTTCCTTCTAGTGTGTAGTGGATCCCTTCAACACGTTTGTTCACTGTTACGGATGCGCCTGTAGCAAGGCACACCGTCATCCTCGTTGGAGGGAACTCTCGCTCAACATAGGTGAGACTACTATCCTCTAGCGACTGGCGTCGTGTAAAACTGTTCGACGCCCCACAGTCAACTAGGGCGAGAAATGACATTCCACTTGTCTCTTCGATCTTCAAAGTGATGAGGGACTCCTCATCACTAGGGGCAGTAACACACAGCGACTGTGTGTTGGGAGTAATCTTCGTCAAGATTCCTGCAAATTTTTTTGACGTTGCTAGATCAGCAGGGAGCTTCGCCCCCACTGACCCTGTCCGTTTTTTGACGGTCCGACTTGCTGTCGCGACTTAGCGACATGGTTGGACCCACGCCTTGGACCTTTCCTTGACCAACGGTGGTCATCACGTCCTGTCTTTGGACGTGTTGCGGTGCTCGGGACACTACACTCATGAGCATAGTGTCCAATCTTCTGACAGCGATGGCATCGTGCCGTTCGCTTGTGACTCAGAGAGCGAGATTCCTCGCTCTCGATATAACAGAGATCCACTGGTTCGGGACCTCCTGTTTCCTGTCGTCGGACGATTGTTTGGCGAGGTAGCCTGAGAATGTACCAGGCTGAAGTCTTCTTGTTCCTCATACCCTATCGCCTTTTCAAGCGTATGTAAGTCCTAACGGAACATGTAGGTCTTCACCGGTCCATCTACAAGGCCGTGTATGAACACGTTGATGAGCGTGTGCTCATCAACAGGGTTTTCCGTGACGCTACTCGCAAGGTAGCGCAGGTGCTGTGCGTAAGCGTGCACGTCACGCTTACCTTGCTTTAGCCTCAAGATTGTAGAGTGTGCTCGGAACTTGTCTCTCGGCGGCTCAAACGTTTCATTGAGCCGAGCTTTCAAGGTCTATAACGACTCAAACACATTTGAATGGTGAAGCTTGAGCCCTAAGGCCCAAGTCTTTGCTCGTCCTGTCAAATTTGACAGGGCCAAGGTGACTTGCATCTCGTAGCCCTCGATGTGACGGGCCATGATGGCGTCTTCTAACTCAACGAAACATCTCAAAAGGAGAATTTTCATCGGTTCCCTTGTACCTTGAGATATCAATCTTCGAGGCTTCGGGTCGACGCATGTGCGTCGGCCCGCCCATCGACTGATGAAAACCTTGCTGTTGTAGCAAGGCTATCTTCTGTCTTTCGACTGCAATTTCCCCTTGTAGGAACTTGTTGATAGCAGCATGTAGCTTGTCTCTGCTTGGAGGCTCCATTTTATCACTTACGGCGGGTTCGCCCATGAGCACACTCATGCGGCCGACAATCTCTCATTCTTAATTGCTCAGATGGGAGTAGCCTTCACGTGTGACGTCAAAGGTATCGTCTTTGAGGTGCAACATGTTCATGTTGGACGGACACTAAGTAGTCGTTGGACGGACTACAAAGTGCTACCAGGCGATACGGGGAACCCTATGTTTGGGGGTGCCGCGAAACTTCACGTACACTGGTACGTGCAGAGGAAGACGGTAAGAAGAAGCGAGTACTTGGTTAAAGTTAAAAGTAGAACTGTATTTATCATAGTTAATGTCTGTTAATCATCCACTGTTTATCCTCATCTAACTATGTCTAAATGCAAATGTGTAAATCAGTTATCTGCTCATCAATCGTTGCGTGCGTCTGTCGTGGCGCGTCTTCGTTGGTTGATATGATGGCCTATATCAACCAATTAGGAATTACTCGTAAGTGCTACGGAATATTTGTCCTTATGACAATATTCTGAGAATGCGACTCTTTCAGTTATATTCTATTAACAATTTCTAATAAATTGTTATCTAACGATTCACCCCGTTACATCACCCCCCCCTTAACCATCAGTCACTTTAGTGACTGATTGACCTAATGGATACTTGTCCCAAATCATTTGGGACAGGATTTGCACTTGTTGGTCCGAGTCCACTTTCCATCAGTTTCTTCGCATGGTAAACAAGCCCATGTGGTGCGCGAGCAAGGCCGCCGAGAGCGCGTTCGCACGTCTCTGTGCGGACGCCGAAGCAGAAACCACAGCAACTGAAATCTCATCGGATGTTGAAGCGACTCAGCCTGTGTCACCTGGTGATGCAGGCGCTCGTCATGAAGACACTCATGTCTTCACAGAGTATGAGCTCGGTGTCTAATACTCTCCTGATACGGAAGACGGATCCGTATCGAAGGCGGTTGAAGCCAAGCCGCCTGCCAAGCGTGGCATGGATGATGCTATGCGTCGCAGCATCTTTGGTTCATCTGATGAATCAGATGAACCATCGCCGAAGCGAAGGCGCTCGAGGTCGCGAGACTCGGGCGCTAACAGTGGTGTCGGTTCTCCTGTTGACACCACTTCGCAACAAGGTGCCAGTACTTCTGTCGGCACGTCCAAGAAGAGCGGGACCGCAGTGTGTTGCGTCTCGCTCCCGAGAAGAAGGCATGGATGCCTCCTAAATCTGTCATGGATCACTTGTCGGCGACGACGAGTGATCGTTATCGAACACGGTTGTTCGATTCGTCAAGGATCCATCACCTTGACCCCAGTGCGAAAAACTATCGCGCTGAGAATGATTTCTTCATCGATGCTTTCTTTAAACATCGATGGTACAGTGGGAATCACAAGCGTGGTGGTCCCTGACTGCTTCAGGCGTGGAACGCCTACATCCATAACCTTGAGGATGTAGGTCGTGACGTTTGGAACGACAAACTTATCAAAGCTCGTGATAAGTTTAAAAAGCGAACCCCGACAGGTACACGCTACAAGCTGCATCGTCTGTCTAAGGAGAAAGGGTTACCCTGCCTCTCCTGGGTAGACTCGTGCTCATGTTGTGTGAACAACTCTGCACGAGCACCTAAGGAGGCTTACCTCCCTAATAGCCCGTGGTGGCGCGTACGTATCTCTAGTGAGACGTACGAAGGGATTGACAACCTGAAATCTCTTTACGACCGTGCCGGGAAGACTTTCTCCGGCGGTCCTTCTGCGGCACAGGATGTGCCGTGTCGTACTGCTCAACCAGACCCAGTACGTCAACCATCAGTTGGGAGCGGGGCTCCCAAGCATCCCAGGACTGGGGATAGCCGCGTTACCGAACGAGATAACTCGTCCGACGTCCGTTCACGTCGCGGTGGTTCAACAGCTGCTCAACCAGATAGCGCTGGCCACCGCGAGAGTTCTCTAATGGAGGTGGAGGAAGAGGGAAGACGTTCTCCACACAATCGTGGGGAAGCGTGTGTTCCCGAGAGCTTTTTGATCGCGTAACGCAAGCGTTACGCGGCGATCTCGAACATGAGCGGGACAGGCGTCTCCAACTGTCGGACACTATCTTGAAGCATCGAGCTGAGTTTGCCTTTGCTCAGCTTAAGAACGAGAGAGCTCTGACGTCTCCGCGTGACGAGCTAAGGGTAGCTCGTGGGAGTGTTGATCGGTCTCGGGCTGAGATAACTGCTCTTCAGACCCTTGTCGATGCCCACCATCGGGAGCACAAGGCTCTCTGCGAGATGCTTGAGCGCAAGGGCGTTCTTCATCGGAAGAAGCAGCGTACTGATGGTACGGCTTAAGCCGACCAACGTAAAACGTGGGATGCGTCTGCTTCTTACGTGGCAACTCGATCGTGTATGCATTGCCTAGGCGGTGCAATACACGAAATGGGCCGATGTACTTGGGTAGTAGTTTACTGCTACCCAAGTTAGTCACTACATGCTTTGGTGGGTTAACCGTAGACAGTAGGACTAAGTCACCTTTATTAAATAAAAAAATGTTTGCCCTTCCATTCTTGTCAGCGTTTTGCTTTTGCTTATCCACCGCTTCGGCGATGGAGTCTTGCACAAAACGGACTACCGTTTCACGAGCCAGTATGAACTCATCTGATGACTCGTTAGCTTCAGTGTGCTGTGAGCGCACTGCAGCAACATCAACCTTTTCTTCAGTGAGGGCTTCCGAACTCTCACTGGCATCATCTTCTTCAGTAAGGGCTTCCGCACTCTCACTGGCATCATCTTCTTCGATATCGATGTTATCGATATCGGCATCAAACGCAATGATTTCTTCGTCAGAGCGTGATGAGCGTGAACCAAATCGGTTTTTGCTCGCGCGAGTCCCTCCCCCCCTTAAACCAGAGTTACACTCTAGTAAGGTGGGTACACGCGGATGGCGTAAGCCATTCACGTAAAACGGCGTATGTGTCGTGGACGCATGCACCGAGTTTTTAATGGCAAACTCTACCATTGGCAAGAACTCACTCCAACTCTTAAAGGAGTGTACGTATCCTCGAAGTATCTCTTCGAGGACACGATTGGCGCGTTCCGTCTGACCATCTGAATCCGGATGATCAGATGTAGACATCTTCTAGCGCGTTCCGAGTGATTCGAACACGGAACGCCAGAAATCAGCAGTGAAGCGTGGATCTCCGTCCGACACGAGTTCACGGGGCAACCCATGAAGTCGGAAAATGGTGTCGATAAAGACACAAGCACAGCCACTTGCCGTGATTGACTCTGGTACGGACACAAGGTGTACCATTTTGCTGAATCTGTCAACAAATACGAGAATACCCGTATTCCCGCGTGCGTCTTTGGGTAACCCGAAGACAAAATCCATTGAGAAGGATTCCCAGCACTCCGCCGGAACCGGTAGAGGCTGTAAATGTGCACGCAGTGAAGGACTTGACTTCACTCGTTGACAGACTTCGCATGCGCGAACATACTTTCGCACAAACTGATACTGGCGGGGCCAGTAAAAGTCTCGACTCACCGTGAGATATGTTTTCTCTCGGCCACGATGTCCTCCTATAGGAGCATCGTGATACTCGAACATGATCCGCAAACGCAGATCAGTATCATCTGGAATGACAACACGTGGTGTGTCACCAGAAACGGCTGTATAATACAGTAACCCGTTGCGAGTAGTGTATCGATCTGATGCAAATCGATACGCAGACAATAATCGTATCAACGATTCTCGAGATGGCTGTGAGAGATGTGTCAACAACTTCACAATCTCACCATCTTGGGCATATGCCCGCCTCACATCATCATGCAACGTTGAAGATGGGACTGAGGACGTCATAACCGCAACAGTGGCTGTCTCACTGTTGGGTTTCAGGACTGGTTCAAAGTCGGGCCGACGTGAGAGGGCATCAGCGACGACATTGAGTCCTCCTGGTTTGTACTCAACCGTAAAGTTATATTCTGCAAAGAATGACAACCACCGCGCCATTCGTTGTGAGAGGTGCGGGCTGTTCACTGCCGTGCGTAATGACGCACGGTCTGTGTAAACAATGAAGGGTCTATCTCCTGATAGATAGACTCTGAACTTCGCGAGTGCATACTTCATGGCAAGGAGTTCCTTGTCATGCACCAGATAGTTCCGCTCAGCTGGTTGTAGCTGACGCGACTGATATCAGACGACGCGTTCAACGCCTTCAAGATCGTACTGCATTAATGCGCACCCGATTGCGAAATCGCTGGCATCACAGATCACTTGAAATGGCATGTCCTGATAGGCAATTTCTAGTACTGGGGATTGTATCAAGCTCTGCTTGATACCATCAAAGGAGCGTTGACATTCAGCGTTCCATAACCACCTCTCGTTCTTTTTTAACAAACGAGAGAGGTGTACAGTCATCTCGGCGTAACTGCGTGAATACTTGTGCAAATGCGCCGCTAGCCCAAGGAATTTTCGAAGACCTTTGACATCAACCGGCACAGGCCAGTCGGTGATCGCCTTGATCTTTTCGGGATCAGGACGTACACCGTTCTTACCAACGATGCACCCAAGAAGTGGTATTTCGCTTGCTGCAAATATACACTTCTTGAGATTAGCGTACAATTGATGCTTTCGCATGATTGTAAGAACTTGTCGGACGTGGTACCTGTGAACCTCAACGTCCGACTTTCCATCCATAGCTCGACTATGGATGAATACGTCATCGAAATAACTCGGCGCGAATTCTCGTACTGGTCTCAACAGATGTGATACACATCTGTTGGACGTGGCAGGGGCATTACTAAACCCTTGTGGCATTACTAGCCATTCCCAGAGAATGCCGCTTGCGGTATAGGGTATATACCGTTCTCGCATAAGGATTTGATAGAAGCCATCCATCAAATCTACGGACGAAAAGATGGTACTCTTTGACATACCATCAATGATTACGTCCTTCCTTGGTATCGGTGTCTGAGCCGGTACCGTTGCAGCATTCAATTTGTTGAATGCATGCACTATCCGCCACCCTCCTGTTTCTTTTCGCACAAAGAAGGTCGGAGAGCTATGTGGGGAAGTTGATTCCCTAACATGGCCCACAGCTAAACGATCGGCAAAGAACTTGTTGATCGCAAGTACTTGTTCACGAGGCAGTGGCCACTGCTTCATGACACAGTACTTCGAGCCTGGTTTAAGCTCGACCTCGTGTCGAATACCTTTATCCTTCGGTAACTCGCACGGAACAGTTTCAGGGAATACATCCTTGATTTAACCAAATCTTCATAGAGAGGATTTGTCTTGAGCGATTCCCACGATTGGGAGTCATATCGCTCAACCCGTGTCTTTTCATCGAGGACGCTCTCGTCCATTGATGAACTACTGAGAACTCTCTCGTTCTCAGTAAACATTGTTGCTGACCTTGTGTCGGCTACATACTCGTCGTCAGCGACGAGTACGCATATCTGCTTGACTTTGACACTACGAAGATCACGCAAGAACCTTTTATGTTCGAGCGTTGGCAACTGAGTGATCTCTGAAGTCAACTTCGGAGGCGCAATCAGATCAAGTGTATAAGCGCCCACACTTGATCCGTCATTGACTATGACATTCAATGTATCTGTCATTTCCTGGGGACTTATTCCCTCAGGCCTCGAAGGACTTATTCCTTCGGCTTCCCAGGGACTTATTCCCGCGGGTTTAGGGGAACTTATTTCCGCCGTATTTGTAATATCGGGACTTATTCCCTTTACTTCCTCTAGCTGTGGTTGCGCAACCACAGCGAGATCCTCTACGAAAGACTCTCCAGTCGATCTAGGATTATCGTTTCACTTGACCTGAGCGATCGATTGTTTCTCTTCTAGATGTTCCCCGCTAGGAATACATCTTTGTCCCGGTCCACTCGACTTATTCGAGTGGTGGACCTTCGGCGCAGCCTGTGTTTCCTCACAGCCGCCGGAACTTTGCTCCGAAGTGTAACCGTTTGTTACACTAGGTTTTGTGCAGTCGTACTAACGACCGTACCACAAGTGAGGCCATCGCACTCACTCGCAGTACATCCACACGCTTGTGGACGCTCCAAAACGTTCATCAGATAGCCATCTGATGAACAAGCGGTAGGCATCGTTACTGTTCGATGTTGCCAGTTTACCCGTGGTTCGTACCTTCTGAGCCACGGTATTCCAAGGATGACATCAAGTTTGTCATCCAAATCCAATACGATAAAGTCACCGTCATATTGGGTATCTTCTAGCGTATAGTGGATCTTCACTATACGCTTCATGACGGTTACGGATGCGCCTGTCGCAAGACGTACCGTCATCCTCGTAGGAGGTGTGTCACATTCACTAAACTTAAAATGACCATCTTCTAGCGATTGGCGTCGCACAAAATTGTTGGACGCCCCACAATCGACTAGAGCTCGAAGGGACAACTTATTCGTCACTTCGAGTTTCAAGGTAATGAGTGAGATCTCATTACCTAGAGCAGCAACGCACAACGTTTGTGTGTTGGGAGCAACCTTCATCAAGAGGCCAACAGAATTCTTGACGTTGCTGGACCAGTAGGGTGCTCCGCACCTACTGATCCTGTCCGTTTTTTGACGGTCCATCCCGTTGTTGCGTCTTTGCACCAACAGCGGACCCGCGTCCCTGCCCCTTTCTCATGGGTAGACGGTCACTACGCCCAGTGTTGCGAGACACTGGACGAGGGGCACTACACTCGTAAGCGTAGTGTCCTGTCTTTTGACATCTGTTGCATTTCTGCAACTTCTTGTAGTCTGTAGAGTGAGCCTTCTCGCTCTCTACATAACAGAGTTCCATCGGCTCTGGACCTCCATTGTCATATCGTCTCGGTTGACAATATGATGTCGATCTGGCGCGAGCCTGTCTCAGACTGAAGTCTTCCTGTTCCTCAATGGAAATGGCTTGTTCTAGTGAATCTAGTTCAAGTTGGAACAGTTGAGTCTTGACGGGACCATCCGCAAGACCCTTCATGAGCACCGAAACCAACGTGTGTTCATCAACCGGGTTGGAACTTATGCAACTCGTGAGATGTCGTATATGTTGCGCGTAAGCGTGCACATCACGCTTACCCTGCTTGAGCTTCAAGAGTTCAGTTCGAGCTCTGAACTCAGCTCTAGGCGGTTTGAACGTTTGTCTGAGCCGCAACTTGAAAACTTCTAACGACCCAACGCATATGGGTCGTGCAACTTGAGCCCCAGTGCCCAAGTCTTGGCACGTCCTGCTGGATTTGACTGGGCAAATGCAACTTGCATTTCCCCGTCGTCGATGCGACGCGCCCTTTTGGCGTCATCCAATTCGACGAACCATCTCAAGAGGGAGTCCTATTGGACTCCCTTATACTTAGAGATGTCAATCTTCAAAGTCTCGGGTCGACGCGAGTGCATCGACCCACCAGCAGCAGCCTGCTGCTGTCTCAACAGTTCAAACTGTTGAACACCCTGTTCTCTCAACAACTCTGCTTGTTGAGAACCTTGTTGGTGAAGCAAGGCTACTTTATCGCGTTCAGCGTCAAGTTCATTTTGAATGAACTTGGCGATAGTAGCATGTTGGGCATCTCTATTGAGAGCCTCTAGCATGACGCCAACAGCATGGATGCCCATGATTGAACCCATCCGTTCAACCGCATCCCGTTCGACATCGCTCAAATGGGAGTAGCCGTCACGCGTAGCGTGAAAGCTTTGGTCATCTTCATCATCCAACGTATTCATGTTAGATGTGGACGTGGTCCTTGGACGGACTACGAAGTGCTACCAGGTGTAACGGGGCACCCTGAAGCTTGTACTGGTGACAGTACAAGCTACTTATTCTGACGATAGAATAAGGCGGTGCCTCGGAACTTCACGTACACTGGTACGTGCAGAGGAAGACGGTAAGAAGAAGCGAGTACTTGGTTAGAGTAAAAAGTAGAACTGCATGTATCATAGTTAATGTCTGCAATAAATCACTATTTATCGTCATCTAACTATGTCTGAATACAAATGTGCATATCAACTATCTGCTCACCACTCATTGCGTGCGTCTGTCGTGGCGCGTCTTCGTTGGTTGATATAATGGCCTATATCAACCAATTAGGAACTACTTGTAAGTGCTACAGAATATTTGTCCTTATGACAATATTCTGAGAATATAACTCTTATAGTTATATTCTATTAGCAATTTCTAATAAATTGTTATGTAACGATTCACCCCGTTACACAACGTCGCTGTCTGTTCTGGCCAGTACGCTTTTGTACAAACATTGCTGATCTCGACCGACAACCGGATCGCATCAGGTAGCAAGTAATTATGTTTCATTAGGAAAGCTAAAGGTTTACTTCGTTTTTATCTTAGCAGTGTCTTCAGTCACAAGCTCTTCTAACATCGCTACAAATTTAAACACAATATCTAGCGCGTCAATTTCATAAAAACTACCGAAGAGTGGATCAAGTCATGATAGTCACGTCACATGCAGCCACACACCTCGCCAGCGCAACCCTATCACTACATTCATTCAATCAATCGATTACTCCATCTGAAACGCATTGTCTCACGCACCCCTAAACACTAACGACTCCTGATTTTCCGTATTTATAAATAAAATATCTCTCCGCGAGGGGGTGGGGTAGTTACAGCAAGCACGCAGAAACGAGCTCGTCGTCATCGTCATTAGTTGAAGCCATTTCGCATCGTCGCCCTGTAACTCTATTCTTCTTTCACCCTAAAATTAGAGTCCTCGCTTTAAACACGACACAAAACCATCATTAGAACAACAACTAGACCACCACCACCACCAGGAGCTACACACTCGCTTGTCGTCCCAAGTCTCTCGTATGTCTCAGCTGCAGCAGCAAAAGCGCGTCGAAGCGGCCGCGCAGCTCAAGCAGGCGGAGAAAGCCCTGACCAGGCGCTCGTTCTTCCGCGGCTCGCCCGACTACCTCTCGGCTGCGCCGCTGCTGGACAAAGCGGGGGAACTCTTTCGACTCGGCAGTGACTGGGAAGCCAGTAAAGACGCGTTTCGGCGCTGTGCGGACGCGCAACAGCACAACCAACTGCCGTTTCGGGCCGCTCAGGCGTGGGAAAATGTAGCCAAGACGGTCCTGCAGCAGGTACAAGCGGAGGGGTCCAGTCGAACGATGTCCAGCCAGAAGTCGCGGACTGGGGAAGCTCGCCAGGCGTTCGAGAAAGCTAGTAGCTTTTACGTGGACATGGGAGAGTTTGGGAAAGCTGCTGATGCACTGGTTAAGGGAGCACAGGCCTGTGAGAGTCAGGGGTCTAGTGTGGTTGACGTGCTGCCGCTCTACACACACGCGTGCGAGCTCCTCGAGGCCCAAGACAAGCCCCACTTTGCAGTTGAGACGTTCCGCAAGATGCAGAGTTTCCTCGTGAAATATGAGAAATACCGCGATGCAATTGCGTTGTTGGACCGTCTGGCGGCGTTGTATGAAGCTATGGACCAGCCCCACAATGTGCACAAGTGTCGCTTGAGCCAAGTCATTCTTCATCTGGCATCGGGGGACGTACCAGCAGCTGATGCTCTGTATTCGAAGTGTTTGCAAGATGACGCGTTCTTGTCGTCGGATGATTGTGCTCTTGCAGAAGACCTCGTACGGGCCTATAAAATGGGCAACGAAGACCTACTGCGAGCAACGGTACGGAAGCCGGGATTTCTTGCACTGGACAACCAGATTGGACGCGTTAGTCGTAAATTATCGATCTACGGGTTGGGAGATGCTGCGGCTGGTGGTGTGAAGCCGCAAGCTCGGCGCCAGCATGGGACAGTACCATCATCGAGTGAAAAACGCACGCAAGAGCAACAGCAGTCAGGCAAGCAACGCAATCCGTTTGCACCTTCAGCACGAGCACCTCCTGCCCAACGGAGCCTATTTGCACCTTCATCGAGAGCGCCAGTGCCTTCACTAATGTCGGAGTACGAGTCATCCGAGACACCGACAACAGCGACCCGTGATATTGCAGACAGCGATTACGAAGCTGCGCTGTCCGAAGCCCTCGGCACTGTTGCTGTCACAAAACAGGCCGAGACTCATTCACGATCGGCTTCGGTTTCCAAGTGTCTGCAACCTGTGTCGCCAGAGCCAGTTGGCTCGTCCTTATCGTTTGGGCTATCACCGATCATGGCTTCATCTTCGTCGCCTGTAGCAGCGCGTGCAAGCGCTTGCATGGATTACGGATGTGACGACCTAGAGTTTGCCATGCCGGATTCCGACTCGCTCGAGTTTTCCATGGATGAGCAGACGACTGGTGGTGACGTGGGTGGAAGGTCAGATTCCTATAGAACAGCTACAGCACCGGCATCCAAGACAAAGTTGCCAGCGCGAGAACGTAAGCCAACGCTGAAGGCACCCGTGCAAGATGAATTTGATCTCACATAAAGCAACGAGGGTCATAGCTTGTAGCCAACCGGGTTACGATGTGTTTTTGTATTCAGACGAGTTTGGTTGTTGTATGCCCCAGTCACGTTTAATTCGAGCTGAAGAAGGTGTTCATTGGGTACTCGTTGCAGTTTTCGCACTAGCCTGATCTTCCAGTGTTCTGCTACGAATCGTGTCTGCTTTCTACCAAGTTTTTACTGTACATCCGTTCAATGCTCGTGACATCTGCACATTCACAAACTTGCTACACCATCAAGTGGTGAAATTTGGCACTACATCATTCACCCGTAAAAATGCCGTGAACATTGACTCGCTAATCTGCTTGACTCCAACTATTTCTTTGACAAGCAGAAGCCTAGAGCTCCACGCTCCGATTTCACTTGCAACGTTATGCTTTTTCTATTGCAGTTGATCGGCTCACAGTAGCTTCGACTCTTTCTAGTAACGCAATGTGAATGCCACATACTCGTAACGCGTTTACGCCTTATTGGTCTCACAATTCGCAAAGTGCGTACCAAACAAATCGCAATTTAAATGACTACTGTAAGCTACCAAAAGTAACAAAAAGCAGTGACCATGTGTCCGCGACGACAATATTCCTGCTACATTCGCTGACCGCTCTCACTACTCCCCATTTCACCCAATCATACCACAGCATTTCAGCTTGCGCATTTTTGGTCCCCGATGACCTCTACATTCAGACGACACGGGGAGGCTGCTTTGTCTTCCAACCACACAAATGTTCACTTAATGACAAAACACGCTAAGGCTGCGTCCTCCGCCACCCCATGTCGGACGCCCGAGTGCCAGCTGCAAAGAGCGACAAGAAGCGCAGCTTTACCGTAGCAGAGAAGCTCAAGGTCGTGGCCGTATGTAAGTCGCAGTCTCTGCGATCTGCTGCGCGTCAATTCAACGTCGACCGCAACTGCGTGCGCGCGTGGCGCGACAAAGAAGCAGAACTTCTGGCGCTGCACCCGACGGCCAAACGACGACCAGGTGCTGGACGACGACGACAACGGCGGTCGTCGGTCACTTCGTCGTCGTTGTCGATTGTTGCACCAACAGATGGTCAGCGCAATGTGGACACGATGATATCAGCCAATGAGAATCGAGCAGCCGTGCGCTCGGAGCAACATTCGCCCATTCAGTCAACATTAGCAACAATAACAACAGATGGTGATAAGTACGTGCTTGTAGGGTTCCAGGGCAAAGAAGGGGCGTTCTCGGAAGTAGCAGCAAAGACGGCGTTCGAAGAGCTCCGATCGACCAATCCAGACGCGTTGTTGCACGACGAGTTCATGACAGTCGGATTCCCCCACACATCCGACGTCATGGACGCCGTTGAGCGCAACGTCATGACCTTTGGCGTCCTACCAGTGGAAAACTCGCTCTCGGGTACTTTTCACGGCATTCTCGACCGCCTCGTTGCGTCTCATTTGAAAATTGTCGGAGAAGTCACGTACGTGCAAGAACTCTGTCTTTGTGCCTTACCCGGCGTCCAGCTGCACGAGATTGAGACGCTGTCGTCGCATCCAGCTGTTTTGGACCATTGTGAGCGCTTTATCTGTGCAATGGAACGCTTAAGTGGCAGGATCGTTGCTCGAAATGCAGCCTGGGACAGTGCGGGAGCTTGTCAAGATGTGAAGCAGCAAGAGAAGCGCCACGTTGCTGCTATCGCGAGTGAACAAGCAGCTCTTGCTCATGGACTGATGGTGCTGGAGCGAAGTGTAGGCGACGAGCTCGATAATGAGACGAGATATATGATTTTGGGACGTTTGGATGCGGCTCCATTGCCACTGGGAACGACAACGACAACCACAACCAAGTCGAGTATCGTGGTGGCGGTACCGAATGAACCCCAGGCGCTGTTCAAGATTGTGTCGGCTTTTGCTCTCCGGAATGTGATGATTGTCAAGATTGAGAGTCGTCCAGCAGCGACTGCAGGGCACCTCTTTTCAGCCCAGACGACGCACTGGGACTACATTTTCTATATCGACTACATGACAAGCCAAGATATGACGCAGGAAGCGAGATTGCGAGCGAGTCTGGAAGAGTTTGCACTGTGGGTCAAAGATTTGGGCACATATGCGAGCAGCAGCGGCAAAGCATGCGTTGAACCTCCGCGTTGGACAGGCGTGTTGAACGCAATTGCGTGCTGAGTTTGGCACTCGCCACACGAGCTACGTATGTTGTTCCTTTGTCAAAGAGACTTGTAAATGTAATTATCTGGGAGGTCGATGCACAATCGAGACTAAATTGCCGAATGGCAACAAGGTTTTTGAAGGTGGTGTCGTAAAAGTGAATGTGACGTCGGACAACATGACCTGGCTCCTGGTAATTCAGCAGGAGACGCTGCTTCGCCGATGTGGGGTGGTATAGCCTCAGATGGTTTGAATTCGAATTCAAATCATCTGAGGTTATACCACCATTGTCACAGCAACGTTCTGAACATGAAGGAATCGAGATGAAGCCGTGACCGATGCAGCAGTTATTAGTTTTGCGACGACGCTACGATGATCACCTACATGACAGTATGTGGGGTACGGGGGTTGTACTCGTCGAGCAACAGGAGCATTTACGATGGTGTTGGCTTTTCTACTTTTGAACTGGCACGTGTCTGTTCTTTCTCGGCCCAGTGGAGCAGGCTTTACAGATAAGTAGGGGCCATTACTCAGAAAGGTCAAGAAGATGAACACCCCGGAAATAGCCAGTCGCTTCAGCTGCACCACTGGGCCACCTAACGACCGGGTACTTGTTACACCGTGGGCAATTGTGCGACGGGCAACCGCATCGACGGCGATGCTCAGTGCAGGTGCACTAGTCTTCGGTATGACTCCAGAGGTCAAGCACAGTGGTAACAACGGCGAAGTACTTCCCACGTTCGTAGCTTGTTCGCAGGCCATCATTTCGGCAGCAGAGCGAATGGAAAATCTCGTGCGAGAGCCTGAAAGTATGGCTGTGGCAGTCGCCTACGACGAGTGTCTGGATATTGTCGTGGCAGCGGTGAACTACATGGAAGCGGCTGGATCACAAACGACTGCGAATGAGTACGTCGTTGAAATCGATCAAGCTGTACGCAGCATCCGCAACGTTTTGCTACCCAGCCCATACGTCCGTCGAGCTCTACAGTTTTAAAACGGTGTTCACATCTTGGTGGTTTACTGTCAAAAGTTCCCAAGTTGCTGTATTGTGCATTTGTGCTGGAGATTAGTGTAGTTTCTTGACTTTCGATTGCAGTGAGTAGGAGACTTTTCTTCACACATACCACCTGCATCCTTGTATTCATCAGCTATAAGCTTTTGCGATACTAGGCCAACGTGTTGATATTCAACACGCAATTTACAAGGATTATTGTGCTGATGATGTGCAGCAGTCTAAGTTCCAAATATACTTCTTGAATCATTGACCTTGTGACTCATTTCCCGTTTCAGCACTTTTATCTCTTCTCCTGGTTGATTTGTTGTACTTCCTTAGCCACACCGTCACCGTTTAACAACGCCTCACTCAAGAGCTTGTTTTTTCGATCTGGTGGTTGCAAATTAGTAAAGCTATCTTTGTATCTTTGTCATTCCTATAAGGGACGGGCTAAACTTTTCAGTGATTAATCGCTTTGGTCAGTACATACATGCACATGCCTTGTCGTACTACCTCTGTAAAGCATCAATCGTTTACTGTAGCATGATAAACTTACTTTTTGCCGAGACGAACACGAGATATACAAGGAATTGAAGAGTCGATTGTGACCTGATCGAATTGACCCTTTAAGTAACAGAAGTGCCTTGACGACCTATTATCCACACATTATGCATGACCGACTTCTGCCTGCTGTGGTGCGCGATTGAGGTGAAGAGGATCGCTTCACAAGTGCTTAGCGCTTGTGAACGTAGTGTAGACGTACCACTCAAAAATTCTTTTGCAATGAATGATTTACACTGCGAAGTCCGATCACGACAGCTCTCTCCGACCATTTGATATTGATCATCATCAGTGCTAACACGAGACATTTGACTTCCGACAAAATTTTATTTCACGTAAAGTCGACAAACGATCTGTGCAATGGCAAACATTCGAGCGATGTTTTGCTTTGTTGTACGCCGTACGTTATGACCGGTGTTGTTGGAATCGACTTGTGTTGCCTTCATGATGATTGATATGGCTTCAAAAGATACGAAATTCAATTTCTTCAATGTCTTTGCGTTCACGATGATGTACTGGACGGAGTTGCGTCATAGCAGTATGAATGTCTGCTCATTCTACGAACGGTAAACGCGTTACAAACTATAGCGCTGCGCTATGGTTTGTGATCAATAAGTCTTGGACAAGAACAATTTAGCGATGCAGCAAATGAGCCGCAAGAAAAGCATGGTCTCGTGACCTGCTTCAGACGATATGGAATACGGCACTCCTTCAAGCCAAATGACTGGGTTTTTTGTAAGGGGGAAAGCATCCCAATCGCAATAAGCAAAATTGCACATTCAGTTGTAAATTTGTAGAAAATCAACTGCAGCGACTGTCGAAGAAGATAGTTTGCGAAAGAAACTCGACATCATTGAAGATGTTGTGGGATGCGCAATGCTCAAGTTCTGCATCCTCATTCTGAATAAAAACAGGTGGCAATGTATCTGTGACAAAAAATTGATGGATTCTCAAGTTAATGGGTTGTCCGGCATTATCTTGGATGTCAGAACGTAACACACTTGTAAAGTTAAATAACATGATTGAAGTCGAGAGAATTCGACTCAAGATCACCGTGACGTGCTAAACCAAATGGGCATATGTCTGTAACTCAGAGAGCAGTAGAGCGTAATTTGTATCGATTGAGCGCGTGATAAAGAGCGTATACACTTCGTTAGTGGTCGCGCTAAAAGGACAAAGAAGATTGAAATCGGAAATATGGTGTCGTCGATTGTTCTTTTGAGCAAAAGTAGTCCACGGATTGTCAATCGGAGACTGGTCTGTAATACATTGTCACCCGTCCAACCTAAGTATCTTTCTTCGATAAGATTTTCAGTTTACAAAGCTAATTCTCAGAAGCAAAACGGAGCTTCAGCCTTGGTCTTGGTAATACTCGACATGTTATACTTCACAGTCTAAAGTCGTCAAGTGATATGATGCCGATCCCAACGTGTAGTTCCACACCATATGTGGATTTGTGCAGCTGAGTGCCCGTAAAGGAGTTCCAACTCACTTTATGGTTGACGCAGTATTTGTGTCACCAAGGTGAGAAGGTGGAGCCATGTTGACGATCGTATCACAATTTGACCCATAAAGTTGAGATGAAGTAGAGGATGACCCTTACGCTGAAGCAAATTTGTGCGAAGGAGTAGAACTTGTCGGTAAAATTGAGGGATTGGCACAGCTTGATCGTATTCAAGAATCCTACCAGATAAATTATCTACCATCTACTCTATCGACTGGTGCACTTCTGTTGCTTTCCGGACGGGAGGGCCTCTTATTGATTTAGCTGCGGAAGTGCAGTGATTATCGACTACGCATCACAAAAAGTGTCGATGAAGCACAAGACGATAAGTTATATGCTCGAAATGGAGCTGTTAACAATATACATATAGACGGAAATGAGGACGCGGATAGTATGACCGGTAGGGCATCGAAGTGTAATCGTGATTTACGTCACCAAAGGGAGGGGGGTAATGCTTTTGTAGTGTGCATCGATAACGTGTTCTGTGGACCTGGAGCCAAGTCAAGTTTAAGCTGGGTTTACGTGTGGCCACTCAGCTTGCATGTGGATACGATACTAGAACAAGTATCATTGTGAAAAGCTGGAACCACTTGACTACTTAACAAGATCATTCTCAAATCTAAGTGGAACATTGTAATCTCACAGAATTATCTTCGTAGTCGAACAGATAGGTGAGTACGATCGGCTCTTGTTACGTGGCTTCAGCGTCGTTGTTCAACTTGTCCGCAACACTTTCGACATAATTTGACAAAGCAATTGCTAAGGCGTAATGTCGACCATGCATCAACAATGTGCGCGCTGTATTATTGTTCGACAAATTGAAGAAAAAAGAAAAATCTGATAGAGCTCCGAGATTCTAAAATCTCAAGTCGATACGCTTACCTTTAGGTCGAAATTAAGATAGCAATCCTTGCTTATGAACCGCCTACTTTATGATGCATCGTAACCAGTCGGTTTGAGCCTGGGCGTTATTTGTATCGAAGCTGAGCAAAGTGGTTCAAAGGGCCACTTTGCTTGGCCCACACTTTTTGTACAAATAAAGAGCTTATCGGAAATTAAAGTGGCGCCTCGTACAATGTGACGCGCTCTTGACGGACAGAGGCAGAAACCGGTCAGTTGTAATTTTTGAGTGCTCCTTCCAGTATACCAAACCTTATTTGGCATGTTCAAGTCGGATCGAAGGGCTTACAATAGCTAAACGCGAATGCACGTGGCATTTGGTGGTGGCAATGAACAGAGCTACAATATTGCTAGCATCAAACGGTATGAATAGTTTGTCATCGCTGAGCACCGTAGATGTCAAACAGTGCGTGTACGACAAGTGTACGCAAGGAATCCATTAAGATGACACGAAACGTGGTGCACAATAGATAATGAACTGTCGCGGTGATAGACGTGCACTTTGAAATGACACTGACGCAATGCAAAGTCTTTAACAATACCAGAAGCGGGTAAATGGCATACTATAAGGAGGACACAATCGGTTGCAAGCTACAATCCAGAAACAATACGGTCGGGGTTGTGACTGATTTGCGTGTGCCACAAGAAACCGAGATGATGACTCTAATGTTTGAACTGGACGTGCTTGCTGTGTTGGGCAACTATGGTACAAATGAAGACAAGTATCGAAGTATTGCAGGATCTTGACAACCAGGCCATCTCAAGTGTATGAAAACGAATTTACTGGCGCAAACCTTCGTACGGGTGCTGTTTACTGACGACAATCATGGTCGATTTACCTGCTTAAGCAATCGTCAATGACTTGAGCGACTTATCCTTGGTATATGTCAAATGCAATGCCGCTCACGTATTACGAATTGAGATCCGGTTGAAGCGTACTGCAAACTTTCCATGGGTTTTGCCTTCGAGTAATGTAGGCCGCCAAACAGAAGACGCTATCTTATGTCTAAGATATCAGGAGCTGGGGACAACTGTGAGCACACGACCAAGAGTCACGTCTCTAGTGGCGAAAGACAGCTGAAATCTCACAGGACATCTTAGTACAAAACTTGACTATCCTGGCAATTACATGTAACCCCGTTGCAGGATGAGCCAGGTCTAACGGACACGAGCCAAGAGTTAAATCGACTACTATACTACCTGCGTGGGGCGGTGAAATGTGTGTAGGACAGCTCGGATGCTCTGCGGAATATAAAGCACATAGCCACTTGCTTTGGGGTCATTCAGGGTCAGTACGTGCACCCTGCTAATGTTGAAACAGCTTGACTTGGCCCAACGTATACGTACAGTGGATAAAATGCACGATGCGTGGAGTAAGACCGACATACTTTCTCGATTACTTTGTCCCACCGTGCAGTGTAGTCAAGTGCCGATGATGTAAACAGGAGTGGAAATACTGCTACTATCGATATACATTTACAATCACCCGTCGATGCACTGGTGAAGCGCATATTATAGTAGCTAGTGTAGCGCTTGTCACGTCGATCTGTATGTGGCTCCAGCACAGAGAAACTTGTAGAAGGACACCAACACGACCAGATGGTTCAACATGAAGTTGACCGGCTACATCATTACATGCTTAAGGTCAGTAACAAGTGTATTATCTTCAACTTAACTTGTTGTCGAAGGCTGCTTCGTAACCAGCGAGTGAAAAAAATCTACGTACCAGTACAGACAAATGTATCTAAGCCGTGTGCTCGGCCGTATAGTTGTAGTAGATTCGGGTTTCAAACTCGCCGTCGCAGTATGGGAACTCGACGTCATCGTGCGAATCAGAGAAAAGAGCCTTGCCGGTCGTGTACGTGACGTAGCACCCGAGGGTAAAACAAACCACCAGAACGATAATTGCAGCTACCTTCTCGTACACTGGGACGCGGTCCCAAGCCTTGATGAGGTAAAAGATGATTGGAAGTAGGATGCAGTTCGTCGTGATGCACGAAGCACCTACAAAGTCGGCAAACTCGGAGAAATGGTCCTTGAAGATAATGGCGAGACCTACGAGAATAGCGACGATCACCATCCGCATTACAACGTACTTGACGACATTGGAGCCGGTGTACTCAGCAGCTTCCTCCTCCTCGTTGTCCTTATGCACACGTTCCGAGTCGGCTACGGACACGTAAGACATCTTCGAATGGATCGGTTGCGCCAATGAATGACGTTCCAAGACGTCAGCATTAGCCAACTGCATATCAAGGGGGGTTCCGCTCTCCTCGAAATCATATCCATTGTCGATGTCCTCCAGTCCACTCTTGTGCATGCCCAAGAACAACCGCTCGCAGATGTAGAAGGCTGGGTTCAAAATGACAGAAAACGCGATTGTCACGTGAAGTTGCATGAACAGGTAGGCGAGCACGACGGTGCCCCAGTTCGGTGCGAATCCGAGCGACGTCAGGCCGGTCTTACTGTCCGGGTAGATTGTGAAGAGCAGGTTGCCCGAGATCTGGCACCCCACAGCTGAGTACGCCGTACTCGAGAGCACTAGAAACAAGATTGACACAAATCCAACTGTCACACCCACAACTCGAGGCATGCGAGCAGGATCGCTGTGTTGACGCTGCAAGTCTGGAATGACGATCCCAGCACCGTAAGCAAGCGTGAGGTTGCCGAAGACGCCCACGACTTGGGAGAATTTGAGCCCCGGGGACGGTACACTAGGGTGTCCTCGCATCCCGTGCATCACGACTGCCACACCAATAATGTCAGCAACAATCGTGCCCAAACAGCCAGCAAAGGCGGCAGCTGAGCCCTCCTTCAGCGTTGGCACGAGACATACTGGTAGAACCATGAGAGCCATAAAAATGGTCCATGTCGTCTGACTGAACGCGTCTACGAAAAGCCCGTCAAGCAATTGGCCGCCAAGCACGAGAAAAACGCACGGGATGAGCAGACAAGAGCCCATTTGTGAGATAATGCACAGCCAGCGACCGGTAGCGCCCATACTCCACTGACCAAGGTCGCCAAAAGTCTTGACGGACTTTGGGGCGAGCAAAATGACCTTGGACATCGTAATGGACGAGTAAATGTTGGCAAACGCCATGAACGCCATGGCAATAACAGCGATCGTTGGTCCGGCGCGAGCAAAGTTGCCGGGCATGCCAAGCGTCCCGATGCCGTAGATGCAGCAGAAGAGGTTAAATGCCGACTTGCAGTCCTCACCAGTGAGAATAGGTCCTTCTTTCGACGATCCAAACATCATGAAGAATTGCGACTCTCGTCACGAAAAGTGAATGAGCTAAGGAAGTAGTAGTGATGACTGTGTTCGAGACGGCAAAAGTGAATGTGAACGAACTAGAGCCGAGGTGGTGCTGCGTTGCGACTTGCGTCGACGTTGAGGCAGAACACAACGACGGTCCACCTCTTGTCAAACCAGCTAAAATGCTCGCATGCAGGTGGAACAGAAGCATTTTACCTGCCTTGATTTGCAGTCCAAACGGCTGGTCAAGGAATTGTGGACGAGCCTGGATACATTGGTACACGTGTAAACTATTTACGCGGGGACTTGACGTAGATCAACACGATGGATCTTGCCTACACCCATCAATTGAAAGATAGGCTGACTTCTTAGTGCCGTCAAGTGATAGAAACGTGTGGCAATTGATGGGCGTCGTCAAAAGATGCTCTTGCATGTAAGCCGCGTCTTCATTGCATTGAGAAGGGCGACATGAAGTTGAAGCTGCATATTGCAAACAGACGTAGTCGTCTTGGCGTAAAGCAAATCCCCATGAACATCTGGAAACCGACTCCAGATTGCGTCGGCCACGCATCCTTTCTACCAGCCCAAGTTCTTCACATGCATCATGCCGTAGCATGTCGCGCAAAAGCATTAAACCTTCTACCGCAAGTGTCTTCGCTAAATAGCTATTAGGACCAAGGAGGTATTCTTTTAGGAGCAAATTGATCGTGAGCACAGCTTTCACAGCTCGTTGTCACATCTGCTGCGACAGCGCGGAACTGCTTGATAGACCGCAGCTGGATAGGCAGTGCCGTTGGATAATGGCAGCTGGCCCCAGAACATCAATACCATTTATAGCATCTTTAACAGCCGGTGGTACCCTTTGGTAAATACGTGGCTGCTCGAAAATGTCTTCGGCTTTTAGCTAGAAATTAGGAGTCACCATATGGTATAAACCGTGCCACCACTGGCTCAGCTGTAGTTTCTGCGCGTTGGAATGCAAATAAACTACTAGTGATAACATCTGCTATAAAATACTGGATTCTTGAGACGGCGATGGCTGTTTTGCGACTAGCGTGGTGCTACGATGTATCGCTAAGATGAGATTTGTAGGTCCACGAAGCTTATTATGGACGGGCCTTTGTGAGCCACACCCGTGTATAGCCAAGGAATCCATCAACAGCGACTGAACTGAACATTATGGTTTAGCTGTTCTTGCGATGCACGAAGGCAGCCACGAGTTCCGGTCACGATTCTACAACACCTATACCTGTGCCAGGAACTGGACGAATGTTCAAGCAGACTCTGTTGTTATGTGCACAAGCAGACACGACCGTAATTATTGAGATCATATGTGTTGTGTGATGACCACATGCGACTTGAAAGCCTTCGACTCAAGATACTGCACTCGAGCACACCTGTCATCAATCAACTCCTTCAACACTGATTGACTTCTTCTTGATGCACTACGCTTCAACAAGGTGAGATCACGCTAGAAAAGTTAGCGAGCAGCAAACGGTTCTAGATTTTTAGTGATACTATCCGTAAGGATGCTGAATAGCATCTCAGAAACGCAACCATGTTGTTTTTTGCGCTCCGTCGCAACGGATGCGCATTGTTTGCCAGGTGGACCACAAAAGAGCGGGTGCCGGTCCGGTACTCTATCTCTGGTAGTAACGCGTGCGTAACATTTCATGCATGGTTTCCGTGATGTTAAGGTCCATGCGTTGAAATGCATCGTAGCGTTAGGTTCGTCTCTGCTTGTGGGCGGCAAGGCGCGACAACCTTTCGCATCACGGCGACATTGTCTTTGATGAATGCATTCATGAATCTGATGGGCGTTATGTCACACAGAGAGGACCACGTCGCACTATCACCGGCAACGGATGACAATGTTCTTCGCGAGACTTCTGAGTACCGGGCCGACTTTCTGTTTATGATGACTGAACTCTCGATTGACACAAGAAGCTGACAGGATGCGACATGACTGATCTTACGAGGCTTTGACGGACAAGTGACTGATCAGGTTTTTGTATTTGATAGTACTTTGCGTTGCTTATAGTTGGCTGATGGATATCAAGCGTGACGAACGCTGTGCAAACCACTTCGTCGCGGACTCAGGGTAGTATCGGTTCACAAGCTAACCGGCATCCGCTACAGCTTTGGATGCTACGCGAGTCGTACTTATCACCTATAGTCATAAGTTGGCGATCTGCTTTACCTCGCTACGTACAAGGCTTGCCTACCTGGTACGTGGAGGTGATGGTAAAGGGAGCTGCTGCACAGCAGATGCGTCTGTCATTTTCGGTGCTCTAGTTGCAAAAGCGCGACGGTTTCTTTGCTGTGTTGCTATTTTTACACATAAACTTCGTTTACGTTAAATGTAAACAGTCGATAAATACGGCATCAAAGGCGCAGTCTTTTCAAATGCTATAAACTCGGGAAATAAATAATTAAAGCTGACTTTATTTGATTGCTTCGATTCTTTGCCGCGAGCACAAACGCTAATATCGGAAATGCTTTGCGAGGCTTGTACATATATAAAGGAGCAAGATCGTAAGATCGCATTTGCTATGCTTAATCTTGTTCAGTGAGCTGAATTAGAATGCAAATAAGGTTATAGATAGGGGAGAAAGCTCCGGAGCTACAGTAAAGTCTCCCTTATTTAATATGGCTGGGACCACCAAATTTTAATTCAATTAGATAATTATTAAATAAAGAGTTAGGCGGATAGGGTTGAAGCGAAGTGTGCTACACGTGTTAGCAAGGAATACGATAACTTGGCCGCACCCCAGTTCCTCTTTAAGATGCTGCATCGATGCTTGCACAGCTCAATACTTTATAGTTGCAGTAAAAGACTGGGATGAATTTCTGACGAACAATCCAGAAGATGCACGATTAGGTGGGAAAACTTCAGCAAAAATTTCTCAACCAACAAACTCTGGATAATTTTTGTAGTGGTCCCCCGGCGGTAGCTCAATATTTGTAAGGCGAAAAATTTCTCTGCCTTTAACAATAAAATCTCAGGGAATTTTTATTTGGCCTGGGATCAACCAACTTGGGAGTCGACATTTTTATTAGGTAAAGAAGATTATTAACTTATCAAATAAAAATTACGGAGACTCTGCTGCAGTCTTTTGTATGAGTAAGAGCATCTCCACAACACCACTTGATATTATCTTTAAAATAGAGTGGATGACGCGATTTAAAATCTCACCTGGCTAAATTCCACACCGGTGGCTCGCCACTTTAAAACTCCTACACCATGTAATTCTAGTATTTATCTAGAGTGCACTCTTGCTTGTAATTTGTGCCCGCGTCAATAATAGTTCTTTGCTTCAGTAATACATCGGACACGGTATAAAAAGTTATGATCTTGATACACGGTGGATGAGACCCAGAAAGCGCCTTCTAATCCTGGATGAATGTGGCGACGACCTGGCGATCACCACTATTTTGGCCTTCACCGCGTCCGTACCGCGTTCAATACGCAGCGGTTCTACTCCAGGAAGAAGCACCAACACCGACCATAATTACGTGGATGGACATCATCGTGTGATGCAATGTATTATGACGCGAGCACAGTGTACCCGAGTCACCTCTTTCGCCGTCGGTTTCGAATGCAGCGGTACATTTTCCTCCGCATTAACGTTCTGTGGAACAACACGGCCAATAATTTCAGCAACGCCCAGTACATGACTGTCGGTGCTTTGCATTCCGACTGAATCATCTTTAATATCTATAATGAAATTTAATGTGACAATAAGATGCAGTGGGTAAACTATGACTGTCTTCTATTCAATAAATCACTGCTGCTATTCGTCTACAATTATATGGTCCACCGGCTGAATCGGTGGACGAGTACGTGAGTACAGGAGAAAGCACGGCACTTAAATGCTTGACTCGCTTCTCAGCTGCTATGTGAGAAGTCTTCGGAGAGGAATACTTTCGTCAGCCCAACGCACAGGACGCTAAACATCTACTTCAAGCTAAAGAGACACGAAATTGGCCAGGCATGCTTGGATCATTGGATTGCATGCACTGGCAATGGAAAAATTGTCCAACAACCTAAGCCGGTCAAGATTGAGGCAAAGAAAGAACGCCATCAGTTTTACTCGAGGCCGTAGCGTCATCCGACTTCTAGTTTTGGCACGCATATTTGGCACGCCCGGCGCTTGCAATGATATTAATATTCTCGATCGATCGTCGCTGTTCGACAACATCGTATAGGCGTAGCTCTGATAGCTCTATCTACAATCAATGGCCATGATTACGCGCAGAGTAACTACCCCGCAGATGGCATGTATCCACAATACTCTGCAATCGTCCGAACGATGAGTAGTCCCACAAGGCGCACGACAGAATCACTTTTTGCATGAAAAAGCAGCTAATAAAGACGTCGAGCGTGCTTTCAATGTCTTACTTTCGAGATTTGCTATTTTTCGATTGCCATGTCATCTTTCTTTTTTTTTTGGGTCACGGATTCGATGAAGTCATCATGAAAGCAGCAGTACGTTTTCAAAAAAAATCAGCTGTATGCCTAAGCAAATGTGTTAAGCTTTAAATTCTGTGCACAGATTATTTACCACAACATACTCGTTGAAGATAAGCGAAAGCTCAGCTAATCGCACGATTACGGTAACATTCCTGATGTCAATGAAAAAGCAGGATTCACAGAACATCGGCCGGTTGAATCGGTAGCAATGTTTCAGCGATTGTGAGGAATTTGCGGTAAAAAATGGCTACACGACGACCAAATGCAACCCCTGTAGTAGCAAAAAGAGGATGAGAATGACGATGGAGGGTCAAGGTATAAGCAATTAACCTAGCTAAATTTGAGGAGCAGATTCCAGAAAAAGAATAATCGCCGCATCCTTGAAAACTTTTGCCAGCGCTATCGCTTGCTTCAAGCAGAAGTATTCCTTTGCTTCTTCGGTGATATCGGTAGTGCGCATAGCAATGAGCTCGAGCTCGTTGCTCTCTTCGACAGCTTTAGCTTTCGCCTTATCACTCTCAGCCGTTTG